GATTATCATACATCATCTGCTAAAAACTGTGTAGCAGTTTTATGAAGATATTTGAATAAAAAATCAGTACTTCAAAAACCTGTAGATTTATTAAATCTGAAAGTTTTTCATGAGTTTAATACTATTTTAAATAGAAAGCTAAAAAGCTTGGCAGCACAAGGGTTTGAAGAAAGAAATAGTACATCAGCATTAACATTAAAAGAGGTTAAGACAATTCTGTTATATCTATTAAGGCAAAAAATACACCTGAGGGACTTTTACAATGAATATTCTTTTATAATTCAATTCTCTTAGCTTTTCGTAGTGGGGAATATAATGAACTCTTATTAGATAATTTTATTAAGCAATATGATGGTAGAATTGATGTAAGAATATTTAAATCAAAGACTAATTAACGAGAAATTAAAAATTCTGATACACAAAATGAAGTTATTAGTTTACTTAATATTAAATATGTAATCAGTAACTATAAATTCTACTTTACAAAAAGACCATCTTTAGCACCTAAAAATAATTATTTAAAACCATGTCAAGACGAATGTAGTAAGTTAAATTAATTTATTAAATAAATAAAAAAATTATAATAAATACAAATACTTATTTTTTTATTAGCTTCTTTTAATAGCCAATGGTTTTATGTTCATCCATATAGTGAAAGAAATATTAAAACTCTTTTTAAATTGATATGTGAAAATGTAGGAATCAAAATAGATGATTATAATATTTCTAACCACTTAGGTCATAAAATAGCTTAAAGAATTGCGATATAGCGATTCTATTGTTATATCTATTACAAGACATAAGACTCAACAAGGACTTTATTCTTATAAGCAGCCTAAATCAGTATTACAACATGAAGGTTTAAGTAGATTTCCTAGTGCATTAGAAAGTGTCAGAAAATTATCAAATCTAATTAGTAAATTTTATTATCTGTTATAATGAATTTTTTAGTTATTAAATTTTTTTTTATAATTTTTATTTACTTTATAGATAATGATAATTCACAGCAAGATACATATAATCGAGATATTTTACTTAATGAAAGCTTCTCTAAACATAATGAAGAAGATAATATTGAACTTCATGATACAGATAATGTTGAACCTTATGATGCAGATAATATTGGACTTCATGATATAGATAATATTAAATCTTATAATATAGAAAATACTAGTATTGAAAATTCTTTTCGTTTAGCAAAAGAGTTATTGGGTATATTTTTAATATTAGTTATGTATCGTCTTTAATTTATTATAAACCTATATTTAATTTTTTAGAATTTAGCAAAAATAATAAAGCTACTAATTTATTTGAAAATCGATATCCGTTAACTTCAAATGTTCTTCAAGAATTGACAATTCAAGTTTCAGACTCATCACATAATCAAACTATACCAAGCACATTTAATATTCAAGAAGAAAAAACTAAACATACTTTGCTATATGAATTTTTCAAAGGAAATACGTTTAATAATTGTACTTTTAATTTCTAGTTTTATGTTTTAAATGCTTTTATTTTATATATATCATGGCTTGAGCAAAAATATTCATCATATGTGTTATAACTCTAACCAAAAAATTTTAAAGTATGACCTACTCAAAAATTATTAAACTATTCGTTCTATATAATATTGTAACCACCCAGAAGAATTTTAAAGTATTCAAGACCCAACCAAAAGAATCTTAATATGTTCACTATATATAGTGTTGTGACCCTGACTAGAAGAATTTTAAAATGTCGCTGATCTCTGAACAAAAGAATTTTAAGGAGTTTATTCTCTTTAGCGTTGTAATTCCAACCAATAGACTTTTAAAACTTCCATCTTCTTTAGTGTTGTAACCCTGACTAGAAGAATTTTAAAGTAGTTGCACTATTTAGTATTGAAAGAATTTTATGAGGTTCGCTTTATGTAATTCTAACGAAGTACTTATAAGAATAATTTATGTACGTACGTACAGTACATATCTATAATTAATTTATTTACAGTACTGTAATTTATGTTCAGTACTATGTATTATATTTTGTTACGTCATTTCGTAACAAAATATCCTGTGATGTCATTTAGTAACAAAAATATCATGCCAATAAAAAGTCACATGATCATAAGGAATGCACGGCACGATAACTTTACTTATTTGCGCGAGTAACACAAACCAAAAAAGGAATCGAATTTTGTAAATAAACTAAGTGCGTAAAGATAGAAGTTTAGGGTTAAAATTAGATGCTATAACAATAGATTGTTGCTCATTATATGTAAAATTTCGTTTCCAAAAATTTTAATTAGTGCACCAAGGTTGATTTAAACATTAGTTTTTGAGTATTTTCGCTTTTTTCCTCTTTCGCACGTGTTCGGAATTCATGCCAGGCTGATCCGGAACAGTCAAATTTTGTGCACTCTGATTGGCCATTTCTAGGACTCGCGCAAATAAGTGCGTGCCAGGAGGGACGAGTTAATGTTACACATATATTAAAACTGGTGAGGGATTATATCTATCACATAGTCTATAGAGTTGAGTTCAACATAAGTAATTCTATTTTAATTGATCACAACGTGTGGGATTAGATGTGTAACATTAACGGTCCCACATACGTACGTACCGTACGCACGTATGTACGTACGTACGTACTTACGTATATATTTCCAACAAAATTGATAATTCTATGTGAAACATACTCTTTCATTGCGTCAAAATGTCAATTGCAAAACGACCAGAAAAAATTGACAATCCCTTAGATGTTACTAAAATATCCAGTGAAGATAGCCAATTATATTTAGAAGATATGTCTCAGGATTTTCTTGATGAAATCATTAAAGAAATGTATAATTTGAAGAAACTTTGAAAAGCAAAACTTTCAGTTCAATATTTGACACCTTAAAACAATTTCTAGTAAAAAAAAATCAAAATCCGGATAATATTGCTTAGATAATCAATTCGATCCTAGGGCTCAATTCATTCTCGCTCTTTACTATGAATGTGGCAAATGGGTTAAAAGGGATGAACATAAAGCATTCATTTGTTTTCAAAAATCTGCAGAGATGGATAACCCCCGGGCGATATGTAATGTTGGAGGTTGTTATCAGTATGAAAAGAACAAACATAAGGCATTTATTATCAGAAATCTGCAGAGATGGGGGATGTCGTTGGAACAAATGATGTTGGATATTGTTATCGGCATGGAATTGGTGTTGAAATGGATGAAAATAAGGGATTTATTTATTATCAAAAATCTGCAGAGATGGGTGACGCTGCTGGGACATACAATGTTGGATATTGTTATCATCATGGAATTGGAGTTTCCAAGGATGAACAAAAGGCCTTTGAATATTATTTAAAAAGTGCTGAATATGGATATTGTTGTGGAATGCATGAGGTTGGATTGTGTTATCAGAACGGGATAGGAGTAGAAAAGAATAAAGATTTGGCATTTGAATGGTATTTAAAATCAGCTGTTACTCAACACAATTGTAGTGATTATAACTATTTCCGTTGGATAGAATACGAAAATTTTCGAAACATCGAAGAATTAGGTAGAGGTGGTTTTTCCGTAGTGTATAAAACATCATATAAAAGATACTATGGAATGTATGAAGAAGCAGCAATCAAGATAATAAAAGATTCGCATAAAAATAAACAACTTTTTTTAAATGTGGTATGTTATTTTTTTACACGTAAATTTATATTATTGTTTATGAATTAATTGACTATTTTTAGTTAATGGCGTATCATGAGTTTGGGAATTATTTTGGCATATCAATGGATAAAAATAGCGGAGATTTTATTTTAGTGACAAGTTACGCCAAATTTGGGTCATTACGTGAAAAGCTTAAAGATATATTTAAATTGGAGTGGAAAATCAAACCAAAATTATTATGTGATATTGTTAATGGTCTATCAAATATTCATTCTAAAAACTTTATAAATCGAAATTTACATCCTGGCAATGTTTTACTAGAAGAACAATATAAGCTTATATTGATTTAGGTTCATCAATATCAGCTGATAAAAAACAGGATGGTCATATTTATGGAGTTTTGCCATATTTAGCACCTGAGGCCTTAAAAGGAGAACAGTTCACTCAAGCAGCTGATATTTACAGTTTTGGAATTATTATGACAGAAATATTAACTGGGAAGCCCTTTCGATGGTTACAATTTTGATGCTGAATTAGCGGCGATGATTTGTCACGGATTACGACCTGAATTTTTTTATAAAAACACCAAAATGTTATGTTAAATTGGCCAAACAATGTATTAATTCAAATATTAAAAACAGACCTACGGCTGTTGAGATTATTGATAAACTTGAAAAATGGAAAAATATTATAGTTGCTCACGATACTAATGCTAAATCAGATATGAAAAAAAGATCTAAGACACTTGGGATATTTAATAAATTCAAAAAATGGAAAAATTTTATAGTTGTCAATGATAGTAACGTTAAGTTAGACAAACAACACATTGATTCAGATAAAGAGATCGAATAGCAATTTTTAGAAGCTAATAAATCAATCAAAGAATTACCAATTACCACACAAAAACATGATGGCACGATGTATATTTCTAAACTTATTGATACAAGAGAAATCGTTTCAGTGTCTGAAAATTTTAGGACTAATCAATAACTTAATCTAAGTAAAAAATCCGTATTGAAAATACTGATAGTAATTTATTTTTTCATGATTTTTATAAATAACAAGATTAAAGGATATTAAATACTATAATATAGATCAATAGTAAATGTGAATAGCTTATTTTAAATGCTTTTTATATCTGCCAAAATTAACACAAATAAAAAAAAAATTATAGTATACGGCTTGTATGTTTAGTTTATATATTCTACTGCATATTGTTTTATATGTTTTGTTTTGTTTTGTTTCTTGCTTGTTATAACTTGTTTTTGAAGAAAGCGCCACAGCACGA